CGACGCTCGCGAATGTCGAATGGTAACTAGCTGCATCGCGTTGTTGGATCAACCAACAACGCTCTCAACTGGATAATCTCTTCTCTCGTCGTTAAAGGCAATCCAACGAACGTTTTATTTTTCTCTCTATCCTGTTATCCATCCTCTCCTCACTCCCTCCATCCGATTCCCTTCAACCCCTCCGTCTCGGTACTTCCTACCTTTTCCTCCCCAATAAACCTATCTCGCTCTTTTCCGGAATATTCAAGCGATCGTTTTACAAGTGAGAATTAAGTGCTCCCTCGACTCAATTCGACGCAATTTGGACGATACTCGTTACTCTTATTTCCGCTTCTCTTTCCCATGTATTCTCTATCCTGTGCGTTTCTCGTCGATGGAAGAGAGGAAAATCGTCGAGCGGGGAGGAAGCAAAGATAAGACCATAAGTACCTTTAATGGAAGTTTATGCGAGTATGTATAATAGATTATATACGTAGAGCAACTTTTCTTTTAACGGAATATTATTTTCAGGGGGCGAAACTTCTTTGATTGATAATTTTATAATGATTCAGGATAGAAGAGAAATGGTAAAATAATCAAGTTTTATTACGAATGAAAATCTTCGTTTTCGAAATGCTAATAATTTAATATGAGATTAATTAAAAAAATTCGATCCTCATTGATGGGATTGAAAACTTTTAATTAATTTTCCCTTTTATAATTATGTACAAAAGTGCATAATTTGTAAAGCAGGTTCTACATAAAAATTCTTTCTACATAAAACGATTTTTAGGTTAATAAATTACTAGATAATTGTAGATCGAGAGTCTTGAAATTTTTCATGCACGTTTCGTCATGTTTCAAGATAACGTAATTTACGAGCTTGCTATATCTCTTCCACCGATTACACAGGCATGCACTTTCCTTCGATTTAGATCCTCCTACTATTTTTCTTTTCTATACATTTTACATTCTCGCGTGCGTTCAATATTGACATTACATTATCACGTTCTAAATTTTCAACAAAAGAAGTACATGCGTACCTGTGTGCTCGCAATTAACACGCGAGAAGTCGAAGAAGGCAATGAAACACGGAGAGGTTAAAAAAAATTGAAAGATCACGCCGTAAACTTACTTATCGTTTTTAGGATGAATATCTTATGAATATCTTGAAATGAATTTCAGAAAAAGATTAAGAGATTCTGAGTATTTTTCACGGATAGAAAATAACTAATCCGTGATTTTTACTCTCCAAAATAATTCTCGAGAAAACAATTTTCGATTGCAGTCTTGGAATGCGATAATATTTGATATCGATGATCCACTAAGCAAAAATCATCGAGAAATTATTAATTTAAAAAATTTTATTCTCGACAGTTATGCTCTAAAAATAATTTTCGAGGATATTAAAGTAATATTTTCAAACTATGATCTGCGATTATCTAATTAATTGTCGGAGACCTAGAAGTAATTGTTCACGCTGGAATTTGATTTATTATCTGATCTCACTATGGAAAATGTAATAAAAATACCATGAAATTTCAATTAATCTCTCATTACAATCAATTGTTGGCAATTTCTCATTTGCGAGGACGCGTTAAATTTTAAAAAATGGTTAGGGAATATGAATATCTTACGAAAAGAGATTTAATCTTACACGATTGTTGTGCGATCTCTTGCCTTGTGTCTTCTTAATGGATAGAAATTGATTGAATAGGAAGAAGAAAGCCTCTTGCATTCAACTAAAATTCTCAAATCTAAAAATTCTCTTGTCGAAATATTAAATATAAAAGAGTTACTTCTCGATTCTTCGATTAAATCGATCGTTGGCTATCGAATTTGATGCACACACACATATATATATATATCGATGTGCTCCTATTTTCAAACAGCCACGTCTGTCGATTAACCGTTCCACAATTTATCTCGAAACGGATTCAGCTAAGCTGTTAAGTTTATAACTTGTAAATTTTATCATACATAGAGCAATTACTAACCATCAAAATGATAGATTGCAAATCTTTTATTTTTGCAATTATTAAAAGTATATATATTCGACGAATTAATATTTGTCGAATAAATATATAATTATACTTATTTATTCCTATTACAATCGTTTAATAAGAAATTAAAATATGTATTTTCCGTGTTTGATGTCAAAGGTGGAAAAAATGTTGATAGTGAAAAAATAAAAATAAGTATTAGTCTGTATCTTTATAATTTTATTACACTGTCAAAAGGTTAAATGTACAACCGCGTTCTGGCAAAGCATACGTATTTTAGCGAATGAAATTCTAGATTAAAATAGGAAAAAAACATAAAAAATAATCACGTAATAATTTAAATTATCGTTAGAGCTGCCAAACCGATTAAAAGTTTTTTGTTGTCTTGCAATTACTAAAAAATATAAAAAATTAATACTGATTACACGTATCTAATTATATTCATAGTATCGTTTTAATTTTAATATATTTAAACGTATATACATATTATAGGTCGATAGATCTAATGCTAAGTTATTTAATTTTAGACTCTTTACTCTAATTTATATTTTATCATTTCTTAAAATAAATAATCAATATGGTGATTTTTTCTTTTTCTCGCATTATTTATAATCTCATTAGTCGCTTGGATAATTAATAAAGAAATAAAAAGTTAATTTAAAAAATTCAATTTAACATATATCTAACTTGAATTATTATAATCGTGTTATAATCCAAAAAAATATGAATTAAAATTTAAAGAAATATCTTGCTCTTTGATATATTAATTGTTAATGTGTAATTATAATTTGATATGTTAAATAAACATACAATTCAATTAACATAAATTTAACATAAATTAACACATTTAATTTTACATAGATAAATATATTTTTGCATTCTTTGACTAAACAAAGTCTTTGACATCCAAACCTAATTTTGTTTTCTACGTTGTAAATTTTCGACAAATTTGTAAAAATTCTATAAAATATTATATTATCGTTATTACGTTATCAAACCTATTTTTCTTTACGTTACGTTTGAAGAAATAATGAAGAATAAAGTAAAATTTCATAAAATTTTAAATCGTTGGCAATTTATTTTTTTCTACAAAGGATTAATTATAATAAAAAAAAACGTAAAATAGTTTATTAACTTAAAAAGGAACGAAGTAATTATCATTTTAATGTCATTTAGCTGAGCTAGTCGTAAGAAATTCCATCGTGCATCGCACGCAATCATTATGCCTCATCGAAAGATTATGGACTCTTGAAACTACGCTCTTCCAACAATCGTGTAATCCATGATTAAAGTCACGAAGAAACTTCCCGTCAAATTGCCTCGAATATTATTCTAAAAAGGAAATATGTCAAGTCTTGTGTTTTTCGTGTGAATGGTAGACAATTTTATCGTTTTATCTAAATTGAATTTGTTTCTATTCGCATTAAGTTAAAATGGCGGTATAACGAGAAATATTATTGGATTGGATATAAAAAAAATTAGGAAAAATACGTCAAAGAAATAATGAAATATTTCTTTAAACTTATGAATGATAAAATATTCACAAGAATATAGTTGGTAATATTTACAATGTAATTTAACTGCGTAATGAGAACAAATATTTATATTAAGACTACGAAGAACGAATTATCACGTTATTTAACGTGAATAAATTAAAGATTGATTGTTCTTATTGCCTCGCGAATTGCATTGCATAACTATGACATAGCTGTAGTTGCTAATTGCGCGATAAGTATAGCGATCAATGATCTATTCGATAACAAAGTTCTATTATACTCGTTATATATATCTTTCTTTACCTTCATCGCAACAAAATAATTTTAATGATTGAAAAAAAATTATAATCATTTGCTTTAAACGAGAAATATTTCTTATAGTATCCCTATAAATTATAAAAATTATTTAAAGATAATACAATCTAATCAAAAATTATTGAAACGAGGAA